TATTTAATTACTATTAATTAAATATCTATTTATTTATTAGGTTATATAACCGAACTACTATTATTTAATAGCTTATTTATTATTTATACTTATTTACGTTCGGTTATTACCGTTTAAATATTCGTTTATTTATCTTTTTTATTAATTATTTATACTATTAGTTGTACTCTAACGTTATATCCGAATAGTAATTTAATAACTACTAAATAATTATATTAACGGCAATTATAATATAGCTACTAATATAATTATATATCGGATATTATCGAGGGCCCCGGACCGTTACGAATATCCGGTACTAAGGGTCTTTATATTCTCTAAAATAAAGCTATTTATATATTTCCGTAGTAACTAATTAAATATTATTAATAAATATTAGGTAAACCTCAACGAGGATAGGAAATTGTGAACTCCCTATATTTATTTTAGTTAATTTAGTACTGAATTTAATACCTATCTCATCCTTATTACTAATTTGAAATAGTAAGAAAACTATAATAATAATAATAATAATAATAATAATAATAATAATAATACTACTATAATTAATACAACGTATAAGAACCGTAGCTTTTAATTATCTAATTAGGTAGAGTAGGGAGTAATTTTCAAACCTTTCGGGTAGTCGAGATAGGAAGTACTAAATTAAACAAAATTTATTAAAGTCCTATATTTATTGAATAATTTAATATTCAATCTTTACTAATAAACGAAGGTAATTATCGGACCTTTCAATATTCCTTTCTTTTGTATAGATAGAGAAACGAGTAGGAATTCCTCCAAGAGGGATAAAAAATTATTTAATACTCTAAAGAAACAAAGACGGATAATTAGAGATTATTAAAGATCGTTTTTATAAATTAAAAATATATAACTAAACTAATAATCTAGTATAATGGATATTATAATAATTCTTCATCTTATTTTCTATTGTTAGATATTTTATTTATTATTCCTTTTATTCTCCTTCTTTTACTATCCCTACTTTTCTATCTTTTTCAATCTATTATCTTATTAAACCGATCCTTTATATTCCATCTTTTATTAATATTAACTGTTTAGATCCATTTAATTTAGCAAGTGCATCTCTGATCTGTATACCTTATTGAAAATTTGAAAAAAAATCACCGCAGAAAACCAATGCATATATCCCTAAATACCATCCCCAAATCAATATTAAAATAATAATATTAATCTTAAAGACTTTTAACTACTTTAACGTTTATTATACTAGAATAATAAGCGTTTTACTATCTTCGTTAGCCATATCCGGCTCTAGCTAAGGAATAACTACCTATTTTATTCCTACTTTCTCGCTTTGTCTCTCTTATTTATATTTACCTCTAGCCCGTCCCTTTACTTCCTATCCTTTAGCTCTACTTCTATTTATAATAATATAAAGACTTTTTTCTCTATTTATATAATCCTTCCCATAATACCCCTTCCTAACTCTTTTCTTCCTCTTTTTTTCCCTATTATATTATTATTTAAAATAGTTTCTTTTAATTGTAATTGCAATTGCTCTAACCTCCCTAACCCGATCGATTTTACTCTTAACTTTGAAGGTCCTTCCCCCAGCCCATCTTTAAATCTTATATCCTCCTCCCTCTAAATTTCTTCCCCTAGCTTTATATCCCGAACTCCCTTAGAGCCCGTAATACTTTCCTATATACTCTATAGTAATATAATAGAGCGGTAGTACACTTAACTACTAAGCTAAACCTAAAAGATAGGATTATATTTACTTACTAGTAGATATTAGGATATACTACTATATAGGCTATTATAGGGAATTTAACCCTATAATACTACATTCTCCTAAAAGAGGCTCTATAAGAGCTAATTCTTGGAAGTACCGGATGAGAGGCGACGTTTTTCTAATTGTAAGGTGCCTATATAACACTACTTAAAAGGCGCAGCCTTGTAAGAGGGTATACCTTTCTAATAAATTTAATTGAAATATTCGGTTGCTATAATTATATTATTCTCGTACGATTATTTTCAAGGTTGTCCGCTTTTAGAACTTTAAATTATCTACTTCTCAAAAATGGAAAGTAGTATAAAAAACCCGCCCTCGAAATGCCCTAGTTAGGAATTGAACCCGGCGTAGTAAGTGAACATACTATAATAGAGCAGCAGTACACCTAACTACTAAACCAAACTTAAAAGATAGGATGATATTCACTTGCTAATAGATATTAGAATACACTACTATATAGGCCGTTACAGGGGATTTAACCCTATAATAAGTAACCCGCGTCTTAAATTCCTTATAAAATAGTATAACTATCCCTCCTACTATCTTATATCCTTATACTAACCCGTTTAGTATTGTTTATTAAATCCCTTATTTCTATAATACTTTATAATTTACTACGTACGTTAGTTTCTACCCAAGGCCTAGCAACGTTAGCGTCTTTTATAAGGCCGTTACTAATAAAACTTACTTTATTTCAATTAATAGTATTTATTATATTATTGTATTGTTAGTTAAATAAGAAGATACGTAGTGTTTTAATAATATTTATATATAAAAGTAGGATATATCTATAGACTCTTAGTATATAGTTGTATTTAAGACTAGGTTATATTGTATATAATTGTTATTTTGTAGTATGAATAAAATTAGTATTATATTAGCCCCCATTGACAACCTTTAGCAGACCTAGCTTATGAAAATGTAGGTCTCCCCTTCTCCAACTTTTATAAGAGAAAGTCTATTATATTGCTCCGTACAAACGTCGTTAGCTATAGAAACTCCTATATAGATTTAAGATTTTACTCTTATATATTCTTTAATAATTATTAGAAGAAAAATACTAACAATAAAAAAAAGCTATCCGGAGGATAGTCCTCTTAAATTACTTCTAAATATATGATTTTTACAAAGTTCAAACTATCCGTTAAAATATTATAACTTTAAAAATAAACCTTTATCAGCTATAGTAACTTTAAAGCTTTTAGATACTTATTATATCAAAAGTTAAAATTACTTATATAATAGAAGAAAAAGTACGTTAAAGATAGTCTTAATAAGACGATTCCAATAATATTGTTCTTGAAATATATAAACTATTTATTAAACTAAAGTAGTTTTAAGGGGGTAGTATTTTATTTTCAAATTTCTTTTATTTATAACTTTAATAATAACGTAATAAATTAAATAACTATAGGTAGAGAATAGCCATAATAAGGCGCTTTCAATAGTATTATTTTTATAAAGCACGGACCACCTGCTAAGGTAATGTAGCTTTAAAGAAGTAAAAGTTTTAAAGTTCAAAGCTTTATATTTCAATAAATGATAATTATATAAAAGAACTAAAACTATAATTAGAATAAGAATAAAAATTCTATATATAAGGTATTTATCACAGGGCTAGATTACATACCCTATGCCTTACTATAGTACATAACTAGATTACGTACTATTAGTACCGTACTATAACACTAGTGCCAGCCCGGGCATTAAAGCTCTACACGACCTACTCTACCGGGTTACCTAACCCTTATAAGCTTAGGCTAGCGTATACTCTCCTCTTACCTCCCTCATACAATAACGAATATCGTAGCTTATCTCTAACGGTGCCCTTACCCCGTAATAGTATTTTTATTTATTTTTATTAATTTTATTAGATTTATATTATTAAAGACATTACTTAAGTACTATACAGTTTATAAGGAAGTAGTAGTATTAGAAAGTACAAAAAGAATATTATAAGAATAAGAGAGGCTTCCAGCTAAGCTTCTGTACGTAGTAGATATACTATATAGTAAGCTAGAGTATAGGCTATAGAGTAGCTTAGATACGGCAGTTTAGGTGCTTAGATTGGGTATAGTATAGTAAGGAAGCCTCTAGCAGCCTAATTAATTTTAGGCTTTTACAGCTAGTCTAAGCTATAATATAGAAAGATGGGGTAATTTAAGTATTTGAGGAATTCTCCTATTAAGTAGTATATAAAGAGGTTAATAGTGGTACAAATAGATTTTCTTAAATAATTTTATAATTTTTCTAATAAACTTTAATATATTATTAATACAAAAAGATATTACTAAATATATTTTTTAAAATTGTTATTTATCTTATTACACCAAACCAGCTATATACTAGTCTACCCAGTGGGTATACAGTGCTACTTCTTTTATAGTTTAGGAGAAAACCCATTTATTAAGAGAACCTCTATTTGTACGGGGATAAAACTCTATTCGCACGGGGATCCACTTTTGCTTTTCTAAATATAACTTGGTTAGGTCCTAATGTATAAGGTCGAGAGTAGTATAAAAATACCCGTTGATTTCTTGCAGATTTTGGGGGGTAGGTTTTAGCTTTATAGCTCAGGATACGACCTAGATATCACTTTTCTAGGTTTTTGCATTAAAAATCTTTTTTATCAGTTTTAATAATTTACTTTTCTTCTCCTAGATTTCCTTAAGCTACAAAGCACCTACAGCTTCCAAAAAGACTATAGTGGATAGAGAAAAAAAAAGAAAAAATATAATATACTTTACTACCCTCTACTAGAGCTTTTAAGGTACAAAAAGACATAGTCAAGTTTCATTTTTTACCCCACGTGCGAATGGAGTTTCTCTTCATTAAATTCAAATGAAAACCTCTAACTTCTCTATATCCAACTTTAACTCTAGCCTGGACTTATCTTACACCTTACTATAGAATATTAAATATAGAAGCTAATATATATAATATATTTTAAAACTAAATTGTACTTTATATTTGACTATTCTAACCTAGCTAATTGCACCACGAACGAGTGCGTACACTATTTTTCGCAAAGATAATCATAAGTAAATAGTTATCTTCTTCACTCAGCCTGCCTACTTTTGCTAAAGCAGACCCACACTAAAGTTTGGCACTAAAGCTTGGCCCTGCTCTCCCCCCCGCCCTCCCTTCCCCCTTCCTAATCTTCTCTTTTGAGCACGCCTAGTTTGAGAGACTAGTGGGTGCGGCTTGGGATCCCAAACATAGACACGTTTCCGCTGTCCCTGAACAGCTGTAAACAATCAGATGTATTCTCACACACCACCTCTTCTGCCGCCCAAGCCATCAGGAAGTCACGAGGTGACACACATAAACACAGCGGAAACCTCGCCGTCGCCGCGGCCCCCCGAACGTCCGGAGACAGGGGGTCCCGGTGCCGATGGCTTTCAACAAGGTGGCTTGACCCACAACGGGCAAACCATCTCGGACCCCGGCGAGCAATGGTTGCCCAAGTTTCTCCAAGACAAGGCGTGAGTCTTTCCGTTTACAAAAGCGATTGTTCGAATTGGTACTCCGGTGACTGACGCCATCTGATCGCTGGAATAGCAAGCAAGACGATCTCGCCGTGATCCTCTCCAACCCATCGCTTCTCTCCGCCTTGACACACTCACCGGAAACCATCCACCCCTCTTTACAGGCGTCACACGACACATTGCAGTCTGCGCTGGCTGAGAACGTCCAGCGAGCTGCTCAGCTGCTGAATCTCGAGGCACGCCTTGCCAACCAACGATCATCGACTCAAGCTCAGCTTCTGTCGACCCACGCCCTCGAACGCCAATGGCGGGCCAAACAAGCCGAGATGGACCATGCCCTTACCCCCTTTGCCCCGGTACGGCTGTACCAACGGCTCAGCCAGGGATTGCAGGAGCAAGAGGCCGTGTGTTGTGCTCTCGAGGAAAGTTTTCTCGATAGTGGTGGCGATGGCACGCCTGCGTCGGAGCGAGAGGCCAGCGACTGGGTCAGGAAATATAGGGAGGCCAAGAAGCTATACTACCTGCGACAGGAACGCAAGGAGAGATGGGACGAGGGGAGGGTTGGTGGATGGCGCTGATGAATGATGATGTGATCATGAAACGACGAATGCATCTCTGTCCCCGTCTGGACCGTGAGCGCTGATTGTCAACTGGCACGCTGGAAAGATACAAGCAACCCGATGACCCAAAGCAACCCAACGCTGTGTCTCGTTGAAAGGCATCTCCAGCCATGCTATGAAGGTGTGGTAACTGAGATGTTGGGGCTCAAGAAGCTCTAGTTGCTCGGCTTTCTCACAGGTGCGTTCCTTTCGGCACTTTTCTCATTACCAGTCATGCGAAACGGATCTTATAAAGACGTATATCCGGGTCATAGCCACCTACTACTACAAAGAAGACCAACAACGAGTTCAATGGATATGTGTGGTTTCTGGAAACTTGCAGATCTCCCCCCTGAGACGAGAAACTAACTGGAACGCCCTGACTGTCACAACTAAATGCCCCTTGGCCTTACCTGGGAGGTTTCTTCGAACTACTCAGGCTGCCAGTCAACCGCAACGGAAAGTAAAGAAGAAAAGCAGGAAGAAGGGGGGCACACGAGACCTTGCAAGGAAAAGGTACGACTCATATTTGCAAGGGAACAACGAACCACTCGTCCTTAACGGTACCATCGAGTTTAAAGTTCACTCGTGCTATGATGGTGCTCCGTGGATGAGTTCCACCACCCACAAGGAAATGGTCAGGCATTGGCAACCCGAATCAGCAGATGTTGGGACACTCATACCTGCCATAGTCGGAGAGAGAATCGTGGTCAGCAGCAGGCTTCACAGCTGTGTGCTTTTGGAGGCTGTTGACAGCTCGTTGGCGAACAGTTGTACAAATAAACCGAACACGTTACGGTCAGTATATCAGACCTTGAACTCCACTCCTAGGGCTTACCTGGATGCACTTGATGGGTTCTGGCCGGTGTGTCTTTAAATTCGTACATTCCTATTATAGGTTTGTATTGGTCTTTCCCAATGATACCGAGCATTATCGGACCATCCATCCCTGTTTGGGTTGTACTTGCGACCGCTAGGTTGGTGAAGGTCGATATCCGGTCTCGATCTTTTCAGGAATGCCTGTATCATGAGAAGATTCAACATAACCTGTGGTCAGTCCTCTGATTATATAATTTCTCGTTCGGTCTGTCGCTTCGCAGCTCCTTTCTACGGGTTTCCGATTTAGAACCGACCGGCACTTGTGCCAGTTCGCGACGAAGCTGTTCTGGCCCGCTCCTGTCATGTTGCGAATGGTCACTGGAGCGATCAAGACTCCAGTTGGACTCCTGTACGGTATTTTCCAGTTCTCGCCTGTGTTGTTGTTTCCCCATCACACAAACAATCTTGGCCGTTTGCTTGTCGAAGAGCTTGTTTGCTTATCTCGTGCGTAAGTGCCACAACCCCGTGTTTAGTCAAATGGTTCATACGAAGCGTATACGTTCTATATGTTGGAGTTAGAATAAATGCCCCTCCTGGTGAGGAACACTGCCAGTGCATGCTTCCATAAAATCTTTCAGTGGCTAGTCCTGTCTGTACCGTCTTCTCAAATCTGCCCATCTACATAATTATCAGACCCCGCAGCAGCCGGTATCCCCCATCGACTAGAGAATCTTGGAGCCTTCGATGCCTTTGGCCTCCAAGTTCTCGATACCGTCTCGAGCCTGAGCACACAATGAGAAAGTCCTGGTGTTAAGGTTTCGATAAGTTCCAAGAGGCTCAACAGCCACTGTCCGAATGCCGTGTCACCCAACGTTTGTGTATAGGGGCCAAGGCATGGCAGACAAGCAAAGGAGGTTACAGGTAAATATGACCCGTCTATTATCGACCTTAAAGGTAATTCGGAGTAAAAGAGCTGCTGCCAATCGCTCATATTGCGTGATGGCGTAGCTTTTGGGACGCTTGCAACGCTGGAGCCAGTGAGCGACTCTCAATGAGATATCCAAAAAGAACAAATCAAGTATCACGCAAATTGTCGGTATCTTTAGACCGCATAGACCGCTGACCCTGTCTTTGTAGAAGATCAAAAGACGGATCTAAGATGGTAGAGATGTAGATAACAAGATTAGCTGGCAATCGTGACGATACTTTGAGATGATACACGAACTTGATATTTACAGAAAAAGCGATGGTAAATGCAACCCCCAGAAAGTGCAAGTCCATACAGGGTTACCTAGAAACGCAAGTGTCCTGGCGGCCTGGACTTACGAACTTGTTCAGTAAAGACCCTGTAAATGCGACTAATCCAGGCTTCATGGAGACTCTAGACAAAAAGTTGCATTTCCTGGAGGGTTGCACTTGGTCGCTTGGTAGCTGGAAGATTGGCGTCCGGTGTAGCGTAACCTCTCACTTGCCGGATGTTTGGCGAGCATCGACAATGAGATGAATGTGGGCCATTCAACACCTCATGAGGATCAGTCAACGAATCTGTCATACTCGATGCGAAACCAAGCATCAGAACCCACCTCGGGAAATTGGGGAACAGTCCCGGTGCTCACAAAGCACAGGATGCAGGCCCCATCGGCCTGACGGTGGCGACGCCGCCGAAAACGCCGGAGAGAGAACGGCTGGGGAGAGAAGGTTTCAAACGAAGACACAATGGACAAGTCAAAGGGAGAAAAGTGCTACAAATCACCGGAGTAAGGCCGTGATGGATTTGTGGTTCAAGATTGTCCGTATTGTACAGCTACTATATATGTACGCTGTGTTGTGCAAGTCGAGTCCAAACTTGCTCCAGTGTTCACCAGTTTGGTAAATTCATAAATGGTCACTTTCCTTTCGACTGGAATGTCAGTGCTGTGTAGCAGTTGCAGGAGAACAGCCGTAGAATCCGTGGATGAGTGTCTACTATGAAGGTTGGGCGATGCCTGTGTGGGGTTAGTCCCTGGAGGTACAATACAATGCTGGTTTGTTTGTTAACTTCGTTCTTCGGCTAGAGGTCAAATAGGGGAAATAAAGAATTCTTATTGGCTCCCTTATAGTTTTCGTTCGAGGTGACTGACAATGACCAGAGTATGGAACGCTATAGAAGCCTCTTTCTATATCTTTATTTGTTTCCTTTTAAACCTCTTATATTAGAAGATGTAAAAGGTAATCTCCTTTCAATGCTCCTTTATTCAAGTTTCAAATACTTTTTTTTATATTCGGTAGCTCTGGATTGAAGATAGGCGGTTTTTAGTACCAAGCTAATAGATATACTAAAACTTAATTATATACTCTATATACAATAAATAGGCTCGTATAGTATTATATAATAGTAGCCTTATATAATAAGTTACTTTGATTCCATTTAATTCTATTAGACTACTATATATTGTATATACTTAGGACCTATACTTATTTAAACTAGCTTGCTCTCTATAAGAAAAGGGTAGAGAGTGTGTATTTGGGATATGAGATAAGATATATATATTATTTCTAGTTTATTTATTAATATAAGACTCAGTTTATAAACTTTTCTAGGAGGATAATAAAATTAGAAATATTTATATGATTTAATTAGTTGGAATTATTGAATTGTGATATTAAAATAAATTAATACAAAGAATTGTACGTATATATATAAACTTCTTATCTTAGCTTAGCACTACTAGAATTACTAATTACTTAAACTTCTTATTTAATTATAATTTATATTTAATATAGTTATAGAGTATTATTTAATATCTTCTTTCTCTATTTAAAGCACTTATAAGTAGGTACTATACTAATAAACAAACTAGAAGTAGTATGTACCTTTCAAGCCTACTAATAAAACTCTATATATTTAGGTATAAATACTAAGTCCCAACTACCTTTTCCAACTACTATATTAACGTTACTATAACTTTAATATAAAGCATTTTTTACTAAAAAGCAAGCTTTTAAGCACGTTGTATTTATTAGTCCAATTAGTATTTTCGTTATAGTTTCTTTCTATAAAATAATTATAGAAGTATTAATATTAAAGTAACTTTATAGCTTAGTGCTAAGAATAACAGCTTAGCTACTAAGTAGTGTAAGGTACGCCTTATCTTATATTTTTTATATTTAATTTAGGAGGGTAGAAATCTTATTAAATAATGAAAGTACCTTTACGCGTACGGTACTTCTACGTTGTACTTTAATAGATATTAGTGTAGTATTACAAGATTTAGTATTTAATTATAATAATAGTTATATAAGTGTATATTGGATATTCTATTTAACGAATAGAATATTCTTCTATCTTTTATAATTTTAGTTCTTAGACCTATTTAACCTCCAAAACCCACCCTACTCCCAACCCCACCCTCTATTTAAAAGTTTGAGGAGAGGAGACCTACATATTTGTAGGGCGGGTCCACTGAAGGTTGTTATCGGAGGTTAATATAATAGAAATTATATCTTTTAATAGTTTAGTTTAGAAGTATTGTACGCCTCTAGTATTTTAATATTATATTTTATTTTAGGGTACGGACACAGTAGGTTTAATTCCCTACGTAGTAATATTAGAAATAGTTTTTAAAATTACTTATTATAACTAATATATACTAGCTACTATTATATTCGAAAGTGTGTTACTTTTAGGTAGTGTTATATAGCCTTAGCAACTGTAAAGAAGAAGGTAGGAAGATAGTACCGAGTCCTTTTCCTACTCAAGACGGGTCCCTAGAGTAGGAAGGTCCTTAGAGTAGGATTTTAGAGAAAGGTAATATTATAGAATTTAGTACTTAAATGTAATATTAGTTATATAAGCGTGTATTAAATATTCTGTCTAGTGAATAGAATATTCTTCTATCTTTTAGTAGTTTAGCCTAGAAGCATTACACGCCTTTAGCGCTTTAGTATATAGTAAAAATAGTACTATACTTCTTTCGTATTTAGTTATAACGGCCTTGTTCTTTCTATAAGCTATTATTCAATATACATTACATAGTGTTAGCTTCTATCTTACTAGCTTACTTTATTAAAAGTATATATTACTATAATAATATTCTTATTCTATATACTATATAATTATAGTACCTTGTTAGTATAGGGTCCTTCTCTAGGTTCTTTGGAGGGGAAAACCGTATAGCGTTAAACGCCGCCAGATAAAAACCCCCAACTTTATTTCGGCTGTAAACTACCCACGCTACTCCTACTTTACTTATAGCTATAACGGTTCTTACCTACCACTATAGCGAATTAATTTCGTCCCTTTCTTTACTATATTATCCTAATATTAGAATAATAAAAATAATAGGAATAGAATTAAGAATACCGCCTTTCTTCGCCGCTCCTCTATTTTAACCCCTATTGTTCCTTTCTTTATATTCCTCCCGCTTCTCCGTTCTATTTCCCCGTTTATATTCCTACTCTTCCGCTTCGTCGCCCCCATTTGTATTTACTTCTACCCCGTCCCTTTACTTTCTATCGTTCAGCTTTACCTTTATTTATAGCAGCGTAAGGACCCTCTTCTCTATTTATATAATCCTCCCTATAAGATCCCTTCCTAACTTCCTTTCTATCCTTTATTCTTTTGTTTTAATATTATTAATACTTTATTCCCTTTTTAAAAGTACCTTACAATCTCTTTATATTACTCCTCCTTTAATTTGATTATTAAATAGTATTCCTTTAATCTATTTAACTTTAATATTTATAATAGAATTCTTTTAGCTTTAATTCTATTGTTTAAATACTCTTAAAATTCTTTTTTTGTTAGTAGTTGGATAAATAAGTCTATTTAAAAGCCTTCTACATCGAAGTAATTTAAAATAATATGGGCGAAGATCCTTTTTTTTAGTCCGTAAGTATAGATAAGTATTTGGACGTCC